GTCAAATGCCGACTGAAGTATTTTCAAGTTTTCATTGATGACAAGCTGCTGACGATTGTTGACGAGGCAGACCTGTATTCTTTCCATCAGGCTATTGCATATAGGTAAACGTTTGTTACACTGTGCCAACATGCTTATGCAAAGTACATATTATTTGAAGTGAATCGTTGCATCGCCCCTTCAAATAAGCACCTTATAAAATCAAATGTGGTGTTTGAGCTCTGTACATCTTATATAATTTTACAAGAAAACATGTTTTCATTCAACACCATACATATATCCGTAATGAGTGGTCACCAGAGGCACCCTGGTGTGCATGTCAGGCCAGTTTAGTGTGCCTTGGTGTGGACATTAGACCCGTCTGGTGTGGCGTAGTGTGCACATCAAGCCATTCTGGTGTGCTGTGTTGTGCACATCAGACCAGCCTGGTGTGTTTTGATGTGCACATCAGACCACACTAGGATGATGTGATGGGGACAACAGAACACGTTAGGCCGGTCTGATGTGCGCACCAGAACACACCAGGCCGGTCTGATGTTTACGTCAGAAAACACTAGGACACACCAAACCGGTCTGGTGGATTTTTCAATAGGGTATATATATGTACTCCTTTAATTCAACGTACTATGATATACCCTTTAAAGGCCGACCTACAAAATAATTTTCCGTAGGGTAGGAAAGTCCTCCTCGCCACCCTTCCCACTTCTTCCTCTCCCACTGTCATCTTGACGGCGGGGGCAACACCTTCTGTTGCTGAATCTTAGGGCTGGGTAAGCAGGGAGGTTATCCCGTCCTATCTAGCCCCAAGACGCAGGAACAAAAAGAGTCACCCCGACGTCAAGATATCACTGGGAGAGGGGGAAATGAGAAGGTTGGCGAGTAGACTTTTTCTACCTCGCGGAAAACTGCTTTGTAGGTCGGGTTTTAAGCTGAGACTGCACCCAAAGCTTTAAGTGCGAGCTAGCCTGTGGTCTTGGCTTTGAGAAGTGCCCGTTCTGCGGAAGAACGCTTCAAAGCAGCGACCTCGAGCTCTCGTGTTTGTGGCATAGCTAGCTATGCCACAAACACGAGAGCTCGGATTAATTATGGTACGTTTACACTTGCGGATCCGCTAGCGAATCCGCCCAGCTTTTGCCGCTGGGGCGAAACGCTGGGCGGAAACGCGGCGGCGGCGAGCGTGAACGGAGTATAGGTGTTTTACCGACCCTCGCTTTTAGAATGCGCATAAACTCTATCTTATCGGACTGCGGCAGAGATAGGTTCTGTTTCGTTGCTATAGGTTTTCTATGACTGCTGTCGAGTGTTCACGATCGTCTGGGGGATATCCATTAATTGCTATGCTTTTTCTTCGAGAGCATTGTTCAGCGTTTTCCACCGCCCATTCAAGTTCTTTAATCCTTGCATCTTTTCCGTGCCCGAGCTACTCAATCTCATTTGCTCTTTTTTTATTTTAGTTGTGACACGTGTTATTGAGTCTACCTTTCTCAGTCGGCTGAGGTGTTGGTCGGCTTGTCAAGTTCGAGCAGCGGCCATTTTGAACGACCGACCATCTCCGGCGAATCGGTGGGTCGCTCTAAAAATGCTTCCACTCGTCGATTTGAAGCGGGTCGTACAGAGCGGAATGGTGCCTCCCTCGCGGATTTTTGGAAAGCGCCCTGGATCTACTATGGAATTGTTTGTGGACCTGGTTGCGCAGGTTCAGCACCGTTGAGTGCGCTTCTCCTGGCGCACCGGTGTACTGCGGAGAAGCGACATCTGCAGAGTCGTTATTGCTATGTTGTGTATCTCGCTTTGCCGCAGCGTGGCCGCGTTCTAAAGCGCGAGACACATGGACGGCAGAATCGTCAGATCCGACGTCTGATCCGACAGTCCGAACGGCGCTCCGAATCGCCGCACGCGACAGTTTGAGACACACGCTTCCGACCTTGCATGCGACACGATGATCCGTCCGGCTCCGCCCAGGGGATCCAAGCACTCCAGCGGAGGTCCGTGTTCATAGATCTATGGTCCTAGATTGACGGTTTAGTTCGCACAAACGAAGTTAGGAGCTCGTTCTCGGGCTAGCACGTGCATTCTTTGCCGGGGCCATCTTTCTCGAATGGGTCAGCGGGATCCACGCGTACCGCTTCCCGTCGCCCGTCCCGTTTTCTTGTTCATCCCGCCAGACCCAGTACGTCATCATGACGTTCGCGCTAGCTGTGCTGTCATTGGCTGGACGCATCCGACAATCCGTCCGCCGTGCGAAACTATCTGGCGCGTTGGACGCACGTCGGATCGCTGATCCAACGCCTGAAGCGACCAAATTTTTCGGATCAGGCAGTCGCACTGCCGGATCGGACGTCGGATCGGATGGATTTTTCGCGCATGTGTCTCGCGCTTAAGAAAACAGCAACACAGATTTAGATAATAATGAAAAAAAAATACATGAAAGGTACATTATTAATGTGGTGTGTGCAGATGAATCACACGACCAGCGGCGCATATTATAGGAGGATAATCATCATGGTAAATGGGCTAATCAACTAAGATTTGTCAATTCAATTTTAATTAGTGAAACCAAACATACACCAGCTCGCCTGTACTTTAACCGTTTTTTCATACAATTTCAATTCGATAACCACCATTTCAGTAATTGTTAGAAGGATTTTGAGCTCATGGGAAGCGCAGCAGTGCGCTAAAGTTACCTCAACTGCAAAAAAAAAAAAAAAAAAAAAAAAAAAAAGCTAACGGTTAAAAAAAAAAAAAAAAAAAGAACACGGATAACACACGAAAAAAGAGCGAGGGCAGATTACCGGTCCGGTGGCCTGCTGCTCGAAAGGGGAACTTCAGTGTTCTACCGTACTTCCCATGTTCTCAAGGTATTTCTAAAATTGATCGATTTAGTGGTTTTCCATGACGCTCAGCAAGTTTTTCATTGGCACCATATATTTACTCTACTGAGTCGAAAACTTTTATCAACATATTTTAGTTAATTATCCGACTTATCTTGACGATTAGCACCCATATTATGCCCCCTGGCCGTGTTACTCACATGCAGAAACTGCATTACTGTAGCTTTCCCAGCTTTATTTAAAAAACAGTGTAAAAGTCTAAAAATTACCCTGCATGTACGCACACACACAAAGTTGATAATGTTGAAAATTACCCGAGACTGAGGCAAAAGATGGGAAACAGTAGAAGAAAAAAGACACAAAAAAAAAACGTCACCCCCCCCCCCCCCCCAATTGTTCCTTCCCTGTGTCCCTTTCCTTCTACTAAGTTTCTGATGTTTTACCAGTCTCGGCCGCGGGTGGTTTAAAACATGATGAACATCTACCAGCTCGCCTGCACACTCGCAGTATTTTCGTATACAGGGTGTCCGATTTTAATTGGAACAAATGAGAAAAAGTGGCGCAAGTTAGACGAGTGCCGTCTTCGCCATGTGTTTATTAAACTCTCCGGACATTGTATGAGGGGATAATCGTTATGGTAAGTTGGCTATTTATATAAAATCGTTGATTTACTGTTTAATGGTTGGTTTTAGCGGAAATGTTGAAATTGCAGCGTCGACAAAAATTAATATGAGAGACTAGGGGTGTCGCGAACCGGCCGCGGTTCGAGTTCGACCAGGTTCGACTTTTTCAAACTTTTAGTGAAAAGTTCGGCGAACCTTGTATTGAGGTTCGACTCGTGTGCGCATGCGCGACAGGCGCGCCAGTTGGCTTCGGATTGGATGGTGATGGCTAAGGGATAAATCAAGGGCAGCGCTGATTGGTTCCTTCAGTTAATTCAGTACAAACAATTAAGTTATTAACTTCTTCAGTGATGAGTATTGATTTCCTTCAAGTGCAACTATTCATAAAATAAAATAACCCATTGCATACAAAAAAAAAAAAAAAATTCTCCAAACCTAGACATGCTTGTATCAAGGTCTGGCCGCAGTGTCCACAAAGCCGAACCGGTCGAATCTGGTGAAAAGTTCGAAGGTTCGTCGAACCTCGAAAGTTCGACCTAAAAATACGGTTCGACAAAAGTTCGCGACACCCCTATGAGGGACCAAACCAAATTAAAGGATTTGCAGAAAGGTAATGGTGTTTAACATATCAGTCTACTGATATTCGTGTTGTTTACGCCCAATTTAAAAATTGCGCATCAAGCTTTGTCCACAATGATGCTTTGCAGAGTGATGTACAGGGTGTGTGTCCCCCCCCCCCCCCCCTCCCCCCCCTAAATAGCGGCCAGGCTCTTCAAATCGACCGTAAAATTCGGTTTCTTAACCTATTGCGCTACGATTTTGTGCAGCTCTGCCCACAGGTGGTGCATTTTCTCTATAAAATTTGCGAAGAGCGAACCTACCTGAGGAAAAAAGAAAAAAAAGAAAAAGGCTTAGTTCTTTTGGAAAATCAGCGAAGGAAGACCGGTGCGTTTGAAAAACCTACTCGCGTCCAGCGTCGTTCTATCTGCGTTATCACGTGACATGACCCGTTGGAGCAGCTCGGCTCTATTTGGGTAAGATTTCGAACACAGCCCTTTTCCGTTTTCGGGACGTAAGAAACAATGGCCATGAGCGATTGACCGAAAGGCCAACAGAGCTTGCGAGTGGGTGTCCGGACCCACGTGATGAGCATGCTCAAGGCCCCCGCAAAAAACACAAACAAGATTTGACACCAAAAAAAAAAAAAAAAAAAAAAAACACTCCTTACTTTTCCTTTCTTCTTCCCCCCCCCCCCCCCCCTCAAAAAAAAAAAAAAAAAAAATGTACGAAAGTGAAGAGTGGTTGTTTGGGCGAGTTGGTTTGACATCTTATACAATCTTGTGCGCAACAAAGACGAGGACAAAAGCAGAGAAGAGGACACAACAAGGCGCAAAAGGTGCGGCAATCCACTTTCGCAAGGTACGAAAGTGGATCACCGCACAATTTATGTCAGAGTGTATAGCCTTACGGTTTTTGAAGTCTCCCGCTTGGACGGGCTTTCAGACGTACCGGTGCCGCATATAGCACGGAATTTTACGTAGGCAAATGTCCTATTCCACATATTGGGCGAAATTGCTCATCCAACACCATTTTTACAAAACGCTTGTCACAGGTATATATATGCCTGTGCCAGTCGGATATAGGCCCAATAAAAACAGACTCAATAGAAGAATAGATCAGTGTTATTTAACTTAGAAATATGCATGATAAAACAACTCGAAAGGCACAGAGATCAATTTTATACTTAAAAATACTGCACATATGTACATCCGTTGCAAACCTTTGTTCACCAAATGTCAGCTGAAATTTGTAGAAAAACTCGTGCAGAACATTCTGTTCAATGTCACCAAATAAGCTTAATTATGTTTGTCAAGCACAAAAAAAAAGAACTGTGCAAATATATTTTGTCTACATACATCCGTTCTAAACATTTGGACACGGAACGCATGATATAGGAATTTTTAGAGGGTCCCGATTTTTCTAAAAAAACAACGAAATACAGTAATGCCGTCTGTGCAGGCAAGGTTCATGGCCAGGAAGACCTAATATAATCGTCACAATACATGAATAATTAACTCAAATTCGTTAATCATCCTTTCGGTTGCACGAAGTTAAAGGTTTGTATTTGACCAATGAAAGGTATTAAGAAAAGTTGAATTATCTTTCACATCGTGACTACCAATCCCCTATACCATGTCCCCCTGGCCGTATATCACCTGCACAGACCGTACTAGTGTAGCTTTCACGACCTAAGAATTAAAAAAAATATCACAGCAAGACAAACGGGCCTTGTACATTACCTGCACTGCTGCATGCATGGGGTGCTTCACAAACAGGCTTGAAGTTTTGCATAATTATGTCATTTAAAAATAAGTTGCATACAGCACTTGTTTGTTTACTAGTTTCACCACCCGAATAGGCTTAACCGGGTACTCTGAAAAGAATAAAAAGTACAAAATGCGAACACAACTATCCCAGTACCAACCCAACCCCCCCCCCCCCCCCCCAAAAAAAAAAAAAACACATCTTTCAAATCACTAAATTAAAATCGTACGCAGGGATCTGCATCAGGTCGAAGCTGTCGTGCGGATGCTGGAACTGGACGCAGATACCGCAGACTTCCGGTCACTCTCCCTTTCTCCAGATGCTTGGGAGAGGTCAGGGTGACTTCCGCGGGCGTTCTCCGTGTCGCTCTGTTCGTCGGAAGCGGCCGAAGAGCGCAAGGATGCACTCCTAGGGCATGCATCGAGGTCGGCGGCAGGCGCCTCTCTCTTGGAACGCTGTGGCGACCCCGCGGATGAGCCAGACGCCACGGAGCGAGAGTCCAGCGACCTTGACCTACGTCTTTGGACGTGCAGCGCTGCCTTGGACTCTAGGAAGTGGTGGTCGAGGCCCAGCTCCTGCAGCTTTCGCTCGTACTGGTGTTCCAGGAGGCGTTGGGCTCCGTACTACGAAGGAGAAATGCATTGCCGGAACTTGGAATATTGGTGACGCATCGTTAAGCCTGGTGTCCCTAAAGCCTCGTTAAAAGGGAGCTTGGCCGTTCATTTTTTAGGCACCCAAACTACAGTAAAACCTCGTTATAACAAAGTTGAAGGAGCGGTGGTAATTTTTTTGTTATAACCATTAGTTTGTTATAGCCAATGTCCATTTCTTCCCACTATTAGCAAGCAAGAGGAATTATGATTGCTTTGTTATATCCATTAGTTTGTTATATCCCATTTTGTTATAACGAGGTTTTACTGTAAACACATTTCGAAACGCTCGGCATGTAATGCCAAATTACAAAAAGCCATTGAAAAAGAATCAAAAAAAAAGGAAAGCAGCGAAGGAAGGCTTTGCCAAAACCAGCATTTACATTTTACTGCGCTCACTAGTGGGGAGATATCACATGCCCTACAACTTGCATTCGAGCAGATAGTCTAGAAAAACTCAGTATTTTGCATGTTTCATTGCTGGTGTGAGCTTCAGCATTCATTTCACCCAATCAAACTAACCCACAGGGAACAAGCTGTACTATATTACAACTCGAGGAAAAACACTATTGCGACTTGCAATTTGGTTTACTAGTACAGGTTTGTTTATGTCCATCGAAAGGCTCTGGAACCTATAACGAGACTTGAGCTTTTGCAGCAATTTTGCAAGATCAAATGTATGCACTATTTGTGAGAAAAAGTCTTAGAATTAGTTCGAGGTGATGACAGAAGGATGAATGGTGCACAAAATATAAGTTAAGAAGTGTTACACGGCCACCCGACAGATGGCGCCACTCAAGCATGCACAAATCCAAATGTTAGAAGCAATGGTGAGGGTGCAGGCTAGCTGGTGTAAATTGAGCATAGTTGTAAACCCGAGACTGGGGATACGGACAAGGGACAAAACACAGAACGACACGGACAAAGTCTCAAGGGGGTACGGACAGTTGTAAACCCGAGACTGGGGATACGGACAAGAAACAAAACACAGAACGACACGGACGAAGTCCGTGTCGTTCTGTGTTTTGTCCTTTGTCCATATCCCCAGTCTCGGGTTTACAACTATGCTCAAATGTTAGAGCCCGACTCTAAAGCAGAATATAATTGCAGCATGAAGAATGTGCATAGGCCTCAACACAAGCAAAACTTTGGGGCGTCTTGAAGCTTCGAATACGCTAGTCTTTGACAACAAGACTTGTCAAGAAGCAATGTTAACTCTGTACATCTCAATGACATTTGCAGTGTAATCAGTTTCACCCTACGATGAACCGCAGACAACGCTACGAGCCATTGAAACCAATTCAAGGTACGCGAGTATACAACGACCTCTACGAGGGGAGCAGCGACACGTGGGGTGCAGTGTCACACGACACGTTTGCAGTGCTGGATTGGATGCGATGGCTCGTAGCGTTCAGTAAGGTTCGTGGAGGGGCGAAACGGAGTATAGAACAGATCCTTTGCCGATGATCTACATGCTGCATATTTCATGGACCGCAAGGCATTTATATAGGCAAATTCCTGCTCTTGCGAGCAGCTGTGTCTAGCACCACTCACCAGGGCCCGTCTCTCCACCAGCAGAGGATTGCTGGACACGCGATCCTGGATGTCCTGGAGCTCTTGGCGGTAGTCTTCAAGACGCTGCATGGCTGCCATCCTGGAAGTGAAACGGCCTTCCTTTAGACCACAATCGTAGGACACTATATGCATGATGCGTACGGTCAAGGACACGAGATGTATGCGTCACGGAACACATGTGTCACAGGACAAGACGTGTACGAACATGGGACCATATAACATACAGAACGAGCGAGGAAACCGTGCCTCCAGGGTATTCAAGAGCGCTATTCTGTCATTAAAAAAAATTAAGAAGTACAAATAAATGCAGCGAGTGCAAAAACCTTTGACAAAGTTAGGTACGCCAATTAGGATACTCAAATTTTTCAAATGTTAAAAAGAAAAAACACATTCCAATGCAGAGGGAGAAAACCGGAAACAAACCATCTGGTTGATGCCGCCACACACGGACGGTAGCGAGTCTCTTCCGATCTACTTTCCGGCGTGCGTCCCCAAGAAGCTTTTAGGCTTGTGTACATGTAGCGTCGTGTCTGACGAGACCAGCGTCAAACAGACCGTTTTCTTTCTATTCTGTCCCCATGCATAGGAACAAGTTTCTTATCTATGGCAGCATGAAGAGATTCGAGAGCGCACAAAAAGCAGCCTTAGACACGTTCTCAGGTTGGTGGACATCGATTGAAGCCTGGAAGGACAGCCACACAAGACGAGTTCGAGGAGTGACAAGACAAGTTCGAGGAAAGACAAGACAGGTTCGAGGAGCGACAAGACAGGTTCGAGGAGCGACAGCCTAACCGACCTATGTGCCCTGAGCCTGTCTCTGATGGAGTCGCTGCTGCAAGGCCTGGAAAGGCGGCACGCGAGGGCCCGCATATGGAGCTCCACCCGGGACTTGCGGAGGGTTCGGACGCGTTCCCGCTGCTCCTCCTCGTCCCTTCGCCTTTCTTCTTCCCTCCGCCGCTCTCTGCAAACAAACATACGACAAAGACCGCGTATAGGTAGGGCTGGGTGCATGCATGAACATCGGGATCCAGACATTTTCATATCCATTTGTGCCCCTCTGCGTTGCAGGCTCTCTTTTTACCCATGGTGGATGTTCTAGAGCAGGGGCGGCCAGGCTGACCCGGCCTAAGAGCCGCAAACGAAACCACGAAACTTCCAAGAGCCGGGGGGGGGGGGGGGGGGTGGAGGGAGGGAGGAGAGGGGCAAATTTAAATTTTGTTCAGAGTCTGACTTTATGTATAAGTGCACAAGGCTGTACGAGAGTACAGCCTCGTGCACTTGTGGTCGGCTCAAAACAAAATCCGCAGTTTAGGGTCACGGACTTCTAGAGGATTCGCATTCATTCTCGCACCAGATGTAACTTTCCTCCTGCTCTCTTGTTTTCGAAAGTGACAGTTCATCCTCGCCCCGAGCGCGCGACGCTCGAACTTCCTTAAGGCTAGCCCACATGGTGCGCTTTTCTCCGCGTCTGCGTCGCGTCTGCGCCTGCGCTTTGACGTCACTTCCGGCGCCGGGACGAAACGCAGCGTTTTTTGGCGCATCCCGGCGTATCTGGAAGAGCCAGATATTTTGCGTCCACGCGTCGCGTCTCGCGCTGCGTCGAGAAGGCAACAACCAATGAACCGCCGTGTTCACTAGTTGCAAGGAGCGTTTGAATTTTCTCCACTGTAGGATTGTAGTTTTCGCCACAGACCTCGCGACGAAGGCGATAATAATTATAATAATAATACTTTTTATTTGCACATATTGCGATACCCACTCGGCAGCGTGCGAGGCTAGGCAAAAAGGTCGAGACCCTTACGCAGGTGGGCCTGCTAGCCCGCCGCCAAGTAGGGAAAGGGATACGGGAAAGGAAAATAAATAAAAACACTCAAAACAGAAAGATACACACAAATACGGGTAGCAGCCCTGTGCCATCAAAGCGCACGCGCGCACGCACACACACATACCCGCGCGCGTGGAGTTTACAAAATTTGCACGCTCGCGGCCTTCAATAAAAACGGCTTTTAGGCCCTGCCAACGCTAGCAGCAGGGCGAACATGGGTAGTTACGTCCTTCCCCCCGCGGATATCAGTTTATCATACCTTTTACACAAGTCGAGGGAATCCTCTCTGCTCCGCGGGAGAGGCTGACGCTGCTTCAGCGGAACAGAGAGGACCTAGCTAAGTACAAAAGCGTCCTGCACTCTGGCAGGCCAAATGTAAAGAATACAAGGACACCGAGAGACAAAGGTACAAAACTAATACTACCGGCAACAACCGCTACAACGTAACCACTGTAGCGGCCAGCGGCCAGCTGTAAATGTTTTGGCGCGGGCGATGGGGATGCCAATGGCGTATCGAAACGTGGATGAGGCGTACGCACTAAAAAGAATGAAAATTAGTGAAATTGAGCTTCATTGCGATTGCTGTAATTAAAAATGAGTGCTTACTATTACTAAAATTAAATATTACGGCATGTAGCCATCATTTACCGCGCGATTTCTATTTAATGTTTGCTTTTGTTTCTTAAGCGCGTCTGGCTACGTTGGGCAGACGCTTCGGAAACGCAGACGCGAAGCGCTGCACGGTAGCGCTGCGTGTGGTTTGACTGGGCGCACGCGTCCTGCTTAGCGCGCGCGCCAAGCCGAGACGCGCGTCTAGACGCACTGAAAAACGCGCCATGTGGGCTAGCCTTAACTTTCGAGATAGTGACGCACGGCAGATAAGCAGCTATCAGCGACCTTGTCGAGTCAGTTTCGCTAGCGCTCTGTAGTGCCGCCGAATCGCCGCCCGCTTTTCTGCTGCCTCGACGCTCTTTCGTTACTTAATTTTGTTTGGCACAAGTTCGCCAGCAGGGTGAGAGCGCACGGTTATACCCTATCTTGTTGTAACTTGGCAAACGGCGAACGACAAGTCCCACATTGCGTGCCGAAGGCTTCGAAGTGCGCGACGTATACGAGCGCACCGCACGCATGTTGGAGCATGACGCAGCGAAAAGCCTGATACTTCTTCGGAATTGAGGCGCGCTCTGATGATACGCAGTCACGTTCCGATTGGCCCGCCATGGCCGTAGCTTCCGCTCTACTGGTACGCGATCACAGCTTCCAGGGACGCCCAGTATTTCTTGCTTCAGACACTAGGCTCAGCGGCGTCACCAGAGTAATAGCGGTAACAGCTCGCGTTTGAACAATGCAGCCGCCACTCCCAGGGGTACCCAATATTTCTTGCTTCAGTTGCCAGATGAAGTCAGGATGCGTTTTAATCTAACAACAAAGTTTAGTTGAGGCGGGCTACAGGAAGATGGCTGACAACCACCATTTTGCGTTCCTCGTCGCTCTCCGCTTGCCTAGCGACTGTTGCAATTTCTTCAACACTCCCGAAGTTCGGGACCGTAGCCTGCACTTAAATACGATTAGTCTTCGGGTCTTTAACTGAATCGCTCTATTAAAAAGGTCGAGCAAACTCCGGGCGCAGTTTGCCAATGGGAGGTTGGAGGCCAATGTTATTGTGCGGACTCAGGGGCTCCGGAAGTCAATGGACCTTTTCCACATACCGACGGCACCACCAGGCGGTGGCTGCAGGAACTAAAAATCGAGGAAGTGACCGAACTGCGCTACCCATCAATAATGGGAGCTACGCTACCAGTTTCTTCGCTCTCTGAGCAGTGGCGAAGCGCTCGAAGCGCTCCGCCGAAGCGCTCTGCCAGAGACCAATTTCCCGCGGCAAGAGGTTTTACGTTTGGAGAGGCTTATCCAGAGCCGGAGGGAGGCCTCCTCCCCGCCATCCTTTCCGATGACAAGGAATGGTAGAAAGGTGCCTTTCCTAAGCTGTCCCCGTCCCGCTGCCAGAATACGCGCGCCTCAAGGCTGGCTCAGAAGAAACGTTTACTCCAGCGCTTAGCAGGGGTATCAGCTTTACTACCAATTCTCGTCCCGACAAAACGTCGCTGTCCTTTCTTATTCCGCTTCAAGCTTGGAAGGCGCTGTAGAATGTTGCTCTGACTACATTGAGGGAGGGTTGTGGGTCAGCCTTCAGCGTCCGGGGGGCATGACCCCTACGAAAAAAACTTGAGGGGGCGGACGCCCCCCGGTTCCGGAGCCCCTGTACAGCGGACTCCGTGGTCTTTCGCTCGGATCGTTACACTGCAAGGGTTCGCTTCGGCGCGAGGAAAAGCGCGCTAGAGCACGCGAGAAACGTCCGTCGAGGCGAAGGGTGTACTTACATGTTTGCCGGGTTTTCGGCGCCTCACGGCCTCCGGAGATGTCGTACTCAGTTAAAAGATTAAAAAAAAGGTTAAAATAAAAAAATATAAAAAAAAGTAAAAGGTTAAAACAGCGCAAAAGACAACGGACAGGGTAAAGAAGGACACAGACAGAGCGCTGACTCGCAACTAAATTTTTAGTTGCGAGTCAGCGCTCTGTCTGTGTCCTTCTTTACCCTGTCCGTTGACTTCTGCGGTACGGACAGGGTAAAGAAGGACACAGACAGAGCGCTGACTCGCAACTAAAAATTTAGTTGCGAGTCAGCGCTCTGTCTGTGTCCTTCTTTAGCCTGTCCGTTGACTTCTGCGGTGTCTCAAGCTCGCCGGGATTGTTGAGGTGGCATCGCGAACGCGCTCGCGATACCACCTAGCGACCTAGATATTCTAAGCTTAAATGGTAAAACAAAATGGCTAGGTGGCATAAGCTACCGCCCGATCCAAAGGGTTCAGCCGCATTCATCCATCCATCCATCCATCCGCCATGACAGTAGCGCTGCAGTGCCATATCGAAACTTGCAGTAGCGCCTCCCTTGACCCCGAACGAAGTGACCGAGTCGGAGTCATCGGAACGCCTACTGAACGGCAAAAAAAACCGCGGCTCCAAACCTGCTTCTACGCAATTTCCGCTTCCTCCCCTGTGCCAGACGGCCTCCGAATAAACTGGAAGCAGACGATGGCGAGCATGATCGCTTTTATTTGACGCCGGTATTGAAGAAGTCTTGACAAGGTCGTTGAAGAAAGAGCGAGTGACTGTACACATCAGCGCTACTGTTCGAAGCGATGCAACGCGATCGAGCCCTTTGCTTGGCGGTGCAGAGGCAGCTACTGTTATAAAAACCGACAAAAACGTCGTCAGCACACGCAAAATATAGAGCTCGGCGAATCTACGCCGCCGGTTGCGATACTTTTATACGGCCATACGTTTGTTCCGCCAACGTGGTTCTGCCCTTCGTAACGAACTGCCTATAAAATGTATCCGTATACACACGGGAAGTTCGGCCGCGCTCGGCGATTAAGGTTTTGTCGGCCGAAGCGAGCGTCAGCCAACGTGCACCCCGATTTAGCTACGCAAACAAAACATCAATCGGGATCATGCTCTGCGTGAGTGTCCAACCAGCTACCGAATTCGCCTTCATACCCTGACTTGCTCTGTTCAGCGCGGACAGGACTATCGTCGATATTCACCGAGTTTCCGCGCAACGGCGATCAAGACACGGCGTCAAATAAACGTTTACGTTGTTTATTAGCATATTTAAACCAAACAAAATACGGTCCAATGCATTTTCCGAAAGAGCCTTACCTGAAAAAGAAATTCGAACGCGTTATTCGTCTTACCTTGAGTAGGGGTGTCGCGAACTGGCCGCGGTTCGAGTTCGACCAGGTTCGACTTTTTGAACTTTTAGTGGAAAGTGCGACTGCCCAGTTCAACGTTACTAGATACCTTCAGTTATCAAACTCCCCCGGCGGCGGCCGTCGATGCGTGGCCCATTTTCGTTTCCGCTAGCCAGATGGCGCGGCGGCCACCGTTAGCCCGGTGCCCTGCGCTTCGTAGCGCGACGCGCTGGGTGTTTGTGCAGCAAATGAAATTAGTTACGAAAACGTTAGGGCGCAAACGAGCTGGTGAAGGTTTAACATAATTTTAGACAAACCCCCCGAGACTGGGGAAAAGACGAAGGCCAAAACAACACAGTCTCAACTCTGTGTGACACTCGG